GGGTTAAAAACCCGGAGTTTGGGGGTAAAAAGCTGGAATTTCGGGTTAAAAACGCGGAATTTGGGGTTAAAAACACGGAATTTGGGGTTAAAAACCTGGAGTTTGGGTTAAAAAGCTGGAGTTTGGGGATAAAAACCTGGAGTTTGGGTTAAAAACCTGGAGTTTGGGGTTAAAAACATGGAGTTTGGGTTAAAAAGCTGGAGTTTGGGTTAAAAACCTGGAGTTTGGGTTAAAAAGCTGGAGTTTGGGTTAAAAACCTGGAGTTTGGGTTAAAAACCTGGAGTTTGGGTTAAAAACGCGGAATTTGGGGTTAAAAACGCGGAATTTGGGGTTAAAAACCCGGAATTTGGGTTAAAAACCCGGAATTTGGGTTAAAAACGCAGATTTTGGGTTTCTCTGAGCAGGAATTCCCAACACCTGGAAGTTCTGCAGCTGGGATTGAGTCAGGAGATGCAGCTCCGGGGGGAGAAGCTGCACCAAGAACCCCAACGGGAACGGGATGGGCTCTTCCCAAATCCCGGCGTTTTCCACCTCTGGAATCCCCAAACCCCATCCCAGACCCCCCAAAACTCCCCAAAACTCCCCAAAACTCCCCAAAACCCCCCAAAACCCCCCAAAACTCCCCAAAACTCACGGGGTTGTGCAGCACCAGCTCCTGCAGCGCCTCCAGCTCGGGGTTGAGGGTGGCCGACACCAGCAGGGTCTGGTAGATCTTGGGCAGGTGGCTGGGGGGGCACGGGGGGGTCAGGGGCACCCCAAAACCTCCCCCTGGGGCACCCCAAAATCCCTCGGAGCGCATCGGGACCCCCAAAAATCCCTCAGAACCCCCCAAAAACCTCTCAGAGCTCCCCAAAACTCCTCAGAGCTCCCCAAAAACCTCTCAGTGCACCCCAAAAACCGCTCAGAGCTCCCAAAAACCTCTCAAAGCTCCCAAAAACCTCTCAGAGCTCCCCAAAAACCCCTTAGAGCTCTCCAAAACCTCTCAGTGCACCCCAAAAACCCCTTAGAGCTCCCAAAAACCTCTCAAAGCTCCCCAAAACCTCTCAGAGCTCCCCAAAAACCTCTCAGAGCTCCCCAAAAACCTCTCAGAGCTCCCCAAAACCTCTCAGAGCTCCCCAAAAACCTCTCAGAGCTCCCCAAAACCCCTTAGAGCTCCCCAAAAACCTCTCAGAGCTCCCCAAAACCCCTTAGAGCTCCCCAAAAACCTCTCAGAGCTCCCCAAAACCCCTTAGAGCTCCCCAAAAACCTCTCAGTGCACCCCAAAAACCCCTTAGAGCTCCCAAAAACCTCTCAGAGCTCCCCAAAAACTCCTCAGTGCACCCCAAAACCTCCCCCTGGGCCACCCCAAAATCCCTCTGAGCGCATGGGGACTCCCAAAAATCCCTCAGAACCCCCCAAAAACCTCTCAGAGCTCCCCAAAAACCTCTCAGAGCTCCC